GACTTTTGTTGTGATTTGGCGCTATATAAATAAAAATATAAATAAATTTCTGCTGTTCAATACTGAAGAAATGTAAACTTTTTAAAATGATGTGAAATTGCAAAACGCTCAGCTGTGTCTCTAATTAATCCTCTGTAACTTTGCTCTGCTTCACTTCAGCAGCATCAGGTCATGTTTATATGTTGATTCATGCTACTGCACAATATTTTTAAGGTTATCTGCTATAAAAACGCAGGCCAGAAAATCTCCTTCATGTTTTTCTGTGTTTTATGCTCAGTTACTTTGACACAAAAGCATCTGCTGTGATGCTCACACCTTTGATAAAGTCTCATAAGTGTCATATGGATATGTACCGATAAATGATCAGAATTATAATATTTCTGACTGTCTGAGGCAAAATTTCCCCGATTTGAATCGAATCAGGACCTTGTGAATCGGAATTGAGATGATGACGATACCCAGCTTACAAGCCACACTCTGTCCCATGAGCCATGTGCAGGAAGTAGCCTGGTCCCACTGTTTTAATTATGAAACCTGACGCTAGAAACTAGGAGTTTAAATGATTTCTGTATTGATGCAGTTTCTCTCTCTGACCAGAAGGTGGAGATGCTGGACTGAGTTTGAAATGGCATGTGGTGGAGCAGACAGGCATTTTCCCATGCACACATGTTGGATTTCCTGTGGCTAACAACCACTAACACCATCAAAAGGCTTGTGAAAACGAACTTAATGAATACATGCAGGATATCTTTGTGAAGTAGAGCAATGTTGCCTTCCAAATGCAGCCAAAGTGCGTTTGGATTCTGTTTACTGACTAAAAACAACGACTTTTTCATTATTTTTGACTATTTCAAAGGACAAAGGAGGTGCAGTGAGGAGAACTGACTGTCTGTGTTTGAGCATTCACTGTGTTTATCACCAAGCTGAGAGCGCTGCTGCTGCAATGTGTCACATGGCACGTGTCAAGAACCGCCCCTCAGCAGCGCGTCAACAGGAAGACCACACGCAGGGCAGGACAATGAAATGTCACGGGGGAGTCGCCTACTGAGCGGCGTGCACCCAGCCAACGCTGGTGTGGTAGCTGCGCCTCGAAAATGATATCAGTGGCTGTTTTTTCCCTCCCACACGACAGAGAGGTTTAGCATGTACCTCCTCATCATCATCCATGTACTGTTTGTATCTCTGCTCCATCATCTCCCTCTGCCACCTCTCCTGTTCTAGAGTCTGCTGGATCAGCTGAGCCACTTCACTCTGCTCCCCCGGCTTCTCCCGGCCAATCACAAACCTAGAAAACAGCATCAAAAACAAAACCAAAAACTTTTAAACATTTTACACAAACTAAACTGTACACACTGAAACTGCATGTGTGGAAAACATGAACAAATTTACACTGTATCAACAGCAAACCTGAAAAACTCCTTCAAAACACACCAACTAATAATAATAATAATAATATGCAATTTATACCACTAATGGACAAAAATAGCTTCCATAATGTATAATGTGTTTCAAAAATGGAGATGTGGGGACCAACAGCCCTTATGGGGACAAGATGCCCACGAGGCTCAAAATGTGGTTTCAGTGTCACGATTGCAATGAGGTTATGTTAGGATCAGGCACTCAGTCTTGATGGTTAGGGGAAGCAGCTAGAGAAAGCATTGTGTCAATTGGATGTCCTCACAAAGATATGAAAACACAACTGTGTGCGTTTAGCGTGAGTGCGACACAGACCTGACTTTGCCGGTGGTGTTGCGGAGGACCGAGGCAGCAAAGCTCTGAGTAACACCAACCAGGCTGGTCCCATCAACCTCCACTATGAGGTCGTTCACCTGGATCCTACAGACACAAAGA